CAGAGAAAACAAGATATTCAATAACAAAGGCAGATTTTCACAATAAATATCCACAAATCCAGCCCTACAGAAAGTTCTAGAAGGAAAACGCCAACCCACAGAAGTTAACTATACACACAAGGACATAGACAATAGATAAATCCACTTTACCAGAACCCAAAAGAAAAAGCAAGGCAAATATATTCACAATACCACAGTCAACAACAAATCTAAAACAAACAGGAATTAACAAGCCAATGAGCCTTACTTTAGATTATAAAAAGACACAGACTAACAGAAACAAATACAAAGACAGAATCCAACCTTCTGCTGCATTCAAGAAACACATCTAAGCTTCAAAGACAGATATTACCTCAGGGTAAAGGGTTGGGAAACGATCTTCCAATCAAATGAACACAAGAAGCAAGCAGGTGTAGCTATCCTAATATCTAACTAGTTAGATTCAAACCAAATTCAATCAAAAGAGATGAAGACAGTCATTTCATATTCATCACAGGAGAAATTCATCAGTACAAAGTCTCAATTCTGAACATCTATGCCCCTAATACAAAGGCACCCATATTCGTAAAAGAAACACTACTAAAATCAAAGTAAAATAAAGCCTCACACACTGATAGTGGGAGACATCAGCACCCCACAACAGATCGGCTTTTGACTACATACTGATCAGAACAATGTTGAGATGGGTAGCTGAGATGATACAGGCTCACAGACACTGCTCAAAACAGTTCCGAGGTGGTTAACTGAGATGATTCAGTCCACAGACACTGCTCTAAACAATTTCAAGTTAGTTAGTTGAGATGATCAGCCTCATACACTACTCTAGCCAGGACTTGAGACAAGCCCTACAGAGAGTGGACAACAAATAATAGAGCTACCTCTCCAAGGACCTGACAATTAACCCTAATTTTTTCTTTTCAGGATCCCCTAAAAATGCCATCACCCCCCCCAGAGAGCAGGAAGCAATTTAAGATCATGATGTCCACATGCCAAAGGGGAGGAGTGGATAGATTTGATTGTTCATTGGGTCATGGATATTTGCCATTGTTTATGGGGATATTATAAAGTGGTTATTGGTCATGGTCAGAAAAATTTTTAAAAAAGGAGATTAGATAAAAGGTTCTTCTTTTGAAAAGAGAGAAGGGAAATACAGATATGATAGGATAAGACGAAGCTTATTGAATCTACTTCTAAAGAGCAACTAATTGTTTTAAATATTTCACATTGAACTAGACTTTTATATGTTGTATTCAAATTTTGTAATTGATACAAATTTGAGGTTAATTTTGTTAACACGTATTGTACATATATTTCTAAACTTATTGAAGGTTTTGTACCAATACAACTCATTTAAAAATGTAGTAGAAAGTGTTCTTGAAAGTTATTCTTACCAACTGTTTAGGATAACAAGAAAATGTGGGTTAATAATTAGTCAGCTATTACAATTAAACTTGTAGTCATGATTGATATGTTTACAAGGTCAAACAAATATATTTTAAATAGACATGTCATCTTCAAACACTTAGAGATCTACATAATATGCCATTTAAGATGCTATAATAACATTCGTTCTTGGTTTTTGTTTGTTTGTTTTTTGACAGTGAGATTGGTCTTCTCAAGGTAGCACCAATCTACTTAGAGAAGATGATGACCACTGAAGAAACTCCACATGTAGTTTACTTTGTTGCAAAAGTAAGTAACTGGGTCCCCCTCTTAGGTATATACCCAAAGGATTCACATCCATGCAACAAAGACATCTGTTCAACTATGTTCATAGCAGCACTATTTGTAATAGCAAGAACCTGGAAGCAACCTAGATGCCCCTCAATTGAAGAATGGTTAATGAAGATGTGGCACATCTACACAATGGAATACTACTCTGCAGAAAAAAAAATAATGGTATCTTGAAATTTACAGGCAAGTGGATGGCACTTGAAGAAACCATCCTGAATGAGGTAACCCAGTCACAAAAAGAGGAACACAGTATGTACTCACTCATATATGGATTTTAGACCTAGAGCAAAGGATCACCAGCCTATAATTCACATCACCAGAGGAACTAGGATACAAGGTGTATTCTAAGAGATTCATATAAAGTCCCTCACAGAACTGGGAAGGGACAAGTCCTCCAGAGCTCAGGTGAAGTGGGGGGGGGCAGCGAATGGAGAGAGAAGTAGGAGAAAATGAGGGGGAGGAAAGGAAAATATGTGTGACCAGGAAGATTGAGCCTGGTTAGGAATAGAAGATAGGAGAGAGAGAGAGAGAGAGAGAGAGAGAGAGAGAGAGAGAGAGAGAGAGAGAGAGAGAGAACATAAAAGAGGGAGCCAATATTGGTTTGAAGATAAAATTGAACACAAAGAAAGGTCTAGAGAACTACAAGACTGCTCCCAACTAACAATCTCAGCTTCCGTGGAAAGGCTATCATACATGCCCTTCCCGGAGAGTGAGATCAACAACTAACTTCTCCATGGAGCCCTCAACTAATGCCTGTTGAAAACAGGAGCAAATACCCATACATAAACACTGAATTGAACTAGAACCCAGATGCAGATGGAGAGGACAAGACCATCCGGAAGAAACACATACAGACAGCTTACCTGAACAAGGAGGAGCTAACGGCCACTAGACTGATAGCTGGGAAGCCAGCATGGGACTGACTCAGGCCCCCCTGAATATGGGTCTCAGCCAGAAGGACTGAGCAGTCTAAGAGACCTCAGACAGTGGAGCCAGGATGTATCCCTGGTGCACAAAAGGACTTTGGGAACATATCCCCCATGGAGGGATAACTGCCTTAATCTAGAGACAGGAGAGAAGCTCTAGTCCCTACTTCACATGACCTGTCAGATCTACATGACCCCAACTGGATGGCATTCCCCTATATATGGAATTGGGGTGGGGGGGATAGGAGGGGAGGGTGGTTAGAGTGCAGGTGAGAGGGCAGAGAGGGTAAAAGGGAGGGAAGGAGGGAGGGAAGGATGAAGGGAGGGAGGGAAGGAGAGGGAACTGGGATCGACATGTAAAATAATAAATTAAATTAAAAAAATGCTTTGACTCCAAAATGAAACTACCTGAAAGGTGTAAAGTGTAAAAGGTTGACTGACATTACAAGATGATTTGATGACACAAATTAGAATAGAAATTGAATTAGGTACAACCATTTGGACTCACCAAGATAGGATATGTAATTAAGTATTTTCTCTGAATTCTCAAATGCAAATGGAGTGGACATTATTTATGTGCTTATTTATTGCCTATATATTGTATATATGTATTTTACTTATTTAATACAGTTTTTCTTCTATTAGCTATAACCTTCTTTTATATTTTAGACAAATATGGGGAATGTGATGATGTTTTGTTTATGACCTAATAAAGCTTGCCTGGAGATCAGAGTGCAAAGCTAGCCACAGACATAGAGGCCAAAGGTGGCGGTACACACCTTTATTCCCAGCAGCCACACACGTGGGCAGTGGTAGTGCACACCTTTAATCTCAGCACTAGAGAGGAATGTAAGGCGGGTGGAGACAGGAGTACAGCTCATTCAGTCTGCAGTCATGCTGAGCATAGAATTGCCCCAGGCTTGATAGACATCAGAACTCTCTAGTGGCTGGCTGCTTTGCTTTTCTTACCTTCAACTTGAATTTCAATATCTGTCTCTTGGATTTTATTAATTATGTAACATATGCATGTTCACAAACAGCATGACTGAATTATTCAGTGGGCAAAAGATTCTGTCACATTCCTTAGAATAAAGTTATAAAGAGTTGCGAGCCACAATGTGAGTGCTAACAACCAAACCTGACTGTATAGGAAGTGCTCCTATCTGCTGCATCATCCCTCCAGAATTACTTAATTGCATATTTAAATTAATACAATGGGTTTATACTTCAATTTCTGAGATTCAATGTTGCATAGCCTAATTATCAACTCATGATTTAAAGAACTGTTGCTTACGTATTGTGGTATGTACAAGAAAACACTAACTTTTCTTATAGCACATCCCTGGAAATCATATTCACAAACTGTTCCAAAGTCTATGTCAAATATTACTTCTATCCATAATAACAAAAACTACATTAAACAGTAACCATTCAGAGTTCATCTTTTATTTATCTGTGTTTGACTAAATGAAAAATTCACTTGACTTCTTCAGTAACCTTCCTAATCAAAACCTATTTGAAAGTGAACATCAATTCTCATGAGTTAGTGAGTCCTAAATTTATATCAGGATGGTTTAAACACAAACATATCCACTTATCACTAATGTATGGAAATATGGCCTAGGCTCTGGGTACCAAAGTGTATATTAACATTTAAAAATGGAAGCACAGGGGTTCACAATCATTTTATCTTCCAGCTAATTAATTGTTATTGTTAAGTCTTGATTTCCAAAGTCATTTTGTATATGGGAAAGAGCTACATGAATGGGCCAATAAGACATTCCTAGCCTGAGAGAAACTACCTGACTTAACACGTGTTATGAATATGGGTTGGGTCCTGAAAAATGACTTGTAAGGGATGCAGAAGGCAGAGGCAGAGAATGAGGCAGAGGGCAGAGGCAGCAGAGACAACAGACAGGAGTACCAAAAGAAAAGAAAGACAGCAGCAAAAGGCAGCAAAAGAGAGAGAACTAGAGAGGAAAGGAAAGGATAAACTAATAAGGAGAAAGCTGATGAATTGAGAGGAGAGACAGAGTTTTCAGAGAGGATTTTTTTTTAATGAAGTAAAGTGAAAGTTACCCTCAGAAAGCATCTGTGTTTCCTTGTTTTCTCCCAAGCTAAAGGAGTCTAGTAGGCTTCAGAGAAGTATCTTTCCTAGCTTCCCTCCACGTATTTCCTTATTTAAGCTTGTGCTGACTGGGGTAAGACCCTCGAAGTCAGCAATGCTTTGCCTTATTCTTTTAATTATAACATGAAAACGTGTTGTGTGTTTGACCACAGTGAAATACTTACTAATAATATAAGTACTGATTGCCTGCTCTCCTTATGAGGTAGGCTTACCTGCCAAGGTAGAAGCCTGTCCTGGTTTGTATCTTTGTGAGATGCTATTTCTGTTTTTCTCAAAAGCATTTCATGGAGGGCATGGGCCACTGCATACACTGCATTCCATATGGAAATGTTGGACTCAGAAGTGATCATTATATCTTTTTCTTGCTTAGTCTTTAGAGATACATTCAGCGGGCAGGGTATATTATTTCTACATAGTAAAGGAGGAGGTGAACAGAAAAAATTGTCCAGCCAGAATTTATGGAAGTAAAGATCTCCTGGATACTGGGAGGGTGTAAGTGCCTCAAGAAAGTGTTTGAAACCAGGGATATTTCTCGTCTTTGAAAATGAGAAGCTTCCTTCAAAAAAGGACATCATAATATTCCACTCATAAAATACAGTCTCTAAGAAAACAAAGTGGGGCTTTGCCATGATCCACACCTTCTTTCTCTTTGACATAATTCCATTTTTGATGCAGAAAAATAGTACATCATCTCTGTCCCCATAGAATACATACACATTTACTTTTGTATGTTGGTTCAAATTCAGCAAACCACCCCCAGACATCATCTGTAGGTTCCAATTAGTTGGGAGTTTTTCCATAAAAGCCACACAGATATCTACTGATGCAATCTCTGCTTTCAGCTCAGAGAGGAATTCCATTCCTTTCAGATCTTCAGCCACAATGAGCCCCACCCATTTCCAGCCAAAGTGTAGCAATAAAGAGATCACTCTTTTGGTTAGAGCTGTGTGTTTAGGAGACATCTGGTACAGGGATGGGAATGTATCTTTGTCACTTAGAACAGAATCAAATACTCCATATGAGACCTGGAGAAGCAAAGCAAAGAAAAAAAAAAGGTGATGTTGGGTTTCTAGGTTGTCAGGGCTAAGAGAGCATCAGCTCCAGCCCCTAACCAGGGTTCCAAATGTGAAGTGCTTCTCAGAAGTGAATAAGGGGGTCAAATATTTCTATAGTAACTTCACACACACTCTGAGATAGGCTCTTTATTTTTCTGTCATGCTGCATAAGTTTCCAATTTATATACACTTAAAATCATCAGTTCCCTGGCTACAGCTAGGTGGAAGAGTTTTTCAGAGTCGTAGAAACACATAATCAAATAGGTAACTGTCAGACTTAATTTATTGCTCAAATTGGAAGTGGTTTAAGCTTCCAAGGACTTTTTAATCTAAAAGAGTTTAATTAAGCAGTAAAGACTAGGTCATTAAGGAAATTTACTAGAGGAATATGTATCTTTTGCTATTTACTTAAACGTGATTAGGTAAATAATCTAAAAGTTATCATCAGTGAAAATCTGGAGCAAGGAGAGTATCATCTTTTTCTCAGCATGCCACTTTTCTCCAGCCAATGGAGGGAGTTTTGGGTAACTGGGCAACATATGTAAACATGGAAGCATGAGAAGTTTGGTTCCTGTTAGCACTTTCCCCAGATGGTAGCTGGCTGAAAGGAGCCCATTGGTTCTAAGGATTGCATCCTGTGCCATCTCTAAGGATAAATGCAAGCAGCAACTTCTTGCTTCAACAAACTGAGGTGAAAATAGGTACAAAGAGTTAAGGATTGGCTTTAAGGTTACTTCTAGGTTAGCTTTGGAGCGCACTTTTCTATCTTCTGCCAGAGTGAATTCAGGGTATTGACTGCGATTACCTTCTTGATAGAACTTCACATTGCTGCAGGGAGTCATACAATACACCAATTCTTAGGGGAAACTATAACACATTGTAGTGCTGTGGGAAAATCCTCAAGCAGTCAGTAATGTGAGGGAAAGTGCTCATCACACAAGAAGTCGACAATGAGGAAAGCAAATACTCAGAAGGCAGTATTCCTTATTGTCTTAACGATAAAGGCAATGAGAAGTGCATCTCTGGTGATAATATCACTTCACTCATCAACTTGCTAAAAGAGGTCTATCACCATGAGATATTCATCTCTGATGGGTTGACCTCTAATGTATTTTCTGAGATCTCCCTGCATAATTGTGTGGTCCATAGAAATAGGAATTTTGAGTCACCACCATAGATAGGAAGTGAGTTAATTATTCACTTCAGAGAAGCAGGGAACTTAATATTGGTGAGGAGAATGTCTCCTGTAAGATGAGCTTCATTTTTCACTATGTGATAAAATATGGGTTTTGCTAATAATATGGGCTATAAAGTTATTAAGAGATCTGAAGAAGCTAAAAGGTGATGAATATTCTGTTAAGGGTACATTGGAAAGTTACCACAGATTTCTCTTGTTCCAATAGCAATGGGACAGAGCATAAGGTATAGAGAAGAACTACAAGAAATATTACCAAGTGCTTTACTGTGATCATATGACATCATATTTCTTAGCTTTAGGAAGGTAAAACACATTTGTTCTTAGATTTAGCTCCTGTGATTAGGAAAGAGCAAGGCATGAAGATCTGGGAGAACATCACCAAGTACAGTTGCCTCATCCCTCCCTAATGATAGTTTTGATGAAGTCATCACCTAGTATAAAGTATAAAATGCAAGTCTGTGAGAAAGACTGAAATTATCATGTATATCATGATTTCTCACATTTGGATGCAATACATATATGAATTGTTTTACTGGGTAAAAATAATCAGTTACACTGTTTGTTTTTCTAATTTTGATTAATTCCCAAGCATGGGGCTCACCTAATGCTTTCTCTGTTTGTATTGATGCCTTATGATGCTTGTTTTGCCTCAGTAGTGCCTTGTAAGAACCAAATGTGGTTATTCTCTGTGAGTGCTAGTCAGAGATCTGTTTTCTTGAAAGATCATTAATTCCTTCATCATTTTCAGTAGTGAGGATTGTTACACAATTACTTACATGTCTGGACTCTCTCTTCCTCTATCTATCCATCATTGACCACTGGATGAACTATGAGATGTTTATAACGTTGAGCAGTTAGTTATATGACTAGTGAGCAGCACTCATCTAGGAAGCATCCTGGTACATCTTGCCAATAACTGAAGATAGAATGAATACTACTAAGTGATCTTCTTAGGAATCCAAGTACTTACTGCTCATGTTTTCACCACATTCATTTCACTTTTGATCCTAGCAGTATACAGGTAATTCATTAACTTCTATTTTAATTCACAGGCAATAAAAAGACTATTCGTTTTCTTTTGTTCAAGTATCTTACATGGCTATGTATATCAAAATTTTACTAACTTACTTGTGGAATTTTATAGAGCTCCAAAAGTGTTCCTATTGCAGCAGAAAATTCAGGCCTGATTCCTACAATGATTCCAAGAGCTTTATGTTGAGTTCTGCATTTGTAGTTAGGAACAAAGTCACTCCTTCCAGACAGCCACATCAGAGGGCCTTCTAAGGTTTTGCGGTGAGAGTTAAGGGCATTGTAAAGGTGGAATCCCAAAGTCACATTGGGGAGCAGGTTGGCATCCTTATTGATCTCCTCAATGGCAAAGTATAAAGTCAGCAAATATTGATAGTTTTTCCATCTCTCTCTAAACATGAGGGACATAATGATGAGCACAGTCAGGCCATTATTGTCAAACTCCTAGCAAAGTCAGGAAATTAGAGAATTTTAAGCCCTGACTTCTTTACTGACATGTAAGTTTGAATGAGCCCTTAACAGCTCAGGAGCATCATGGAATGGTTGACAAAGTCTCAGAATTTGAGACATAGGAAAACTCATGAGCCACATGTTCTCATGAGTTCTCAGAGCCATGGGTTCTGTTGAAGCATAGATTCTGCTTAGAGAGCTATGGGCAGCAGGAAGATCTGTGTTACATTGAGATTTATGGCTAGATGCCTTGTTAAGAGAGAATCTGTTGTTCAGAAAACTGGCAATTAGCAACCATTAGGAGAGGGAGGAATTACTCTGCCCTGAGAATTCTCAATATCAAGTGTTCAGCAATATAAATTAACATGTATATAAATTTATATGTTTGTTTAAATGTGTACATGTGTATAAATGCATGATCAATACATACACATGGAGTATTATGTACATTGTTTAAATGCATATATAATACATGTATGCATATATATGTATATAAATGCATAATGTGTATAAATGTAAACATGTATATGAATGCATACATAATTTAATGTATAGGTATAAATGCATACATATGTTTTTTTATTTTATTTTATATAACAAAGTCCAATTAAATGGTAACAAACATTTATACATAATATTTGGGAATTTGGGCGTCGTTCTTTCCAAACTACTTCCTGCTGGTATGGGGCGCTGTCATGGGGGATTCGAAGAAGATTCAGAAATCCTGGCTGTATTCTGTAGAATACACATGTATTGATGTATGCATAAGTATAAATGTGTATACTTGTATAATTGCACACATGAGAAGTCCTGGACAAAGTCATGTCTGCTCTTTAAAACTCAGTGGTGCAGAGAAGTTGTAATGTTGCAGTTCTAGAAACTCATTACCTAAATCCAGGTTAACTGTTGCACCATGAACAGCCATTTCTTGGACACCTCTTCAGGTGAGCTAATCCCCTATAATAAAATCTAGTAACTTAGCAGAGCACTGGCTTCCACAACTTAAAATATAAGAATGACATCAGATAATATCTTTGGCCTTTCCCATCTTTCCTGTGACCTCCTCACTCATAATTCCACCAATCTATTTGAATTACATCTTTCTTTATATCTGACTATGAAATCTTCATGAATCTGCCTCCCTAAGTAATCATGGAATCTTGGCTCACCTAAGTTTGTGTTCACTGGCCATGATCACTCAAATTTGATTCCAGAATAAATTATTTCTTTTTCAATTTGAGCTGAGGCTAAAGGTTTTCCAATGACACAAAGCAGTACTGAGCAATATTTGTACATTTATTTATTTATGTATGTATGAATATTTCCTTATAATAATAATAATAATAATAAACAATGGATCTGAGAGGTAATGGGGTTGTGGAGTCAGGATAGAGTTAGAGGTAGGAAAAGAAGGAGGAATTGTAGAATTATCTTTTAAATGTGGATGTATAGGGAAGAGGATATCATCAAAATATGTTGTATGTTGATTTTTTAATTAAAAAGTAAAAATATAAAAAATTCAGTATACAAAAAGTTTTAAAGTTGACAATATAACACATTGAAATCATGAAAATTCCACAGGGTATTTATACTATATTTAGTCTGCCACAAGTTCTGGATGATAGAAAGAACAAAACATAGATTTTAGAGAACAGGAGTATAGGAAAATTATTCACCAGAGGGATCAGGCAACAGGTAATCTCATCTAGGAAGGATTTCAGAAAGAGAGCTAAGCCCTGGGCATCCACAAGCCAAGTGTCTCCCCAGAGGGTTATCCTGAAGTTTGACTGAAACCCCTGAGCCTTAGTCTATGGGGTTGGTTAAAAAAAAAAAAATACGGAATTGTGAATCTGTTGATTATTGCAGAGAGACCCAAGATTGTGAGGTTCCTGCATTCTGCCTGAGACCCACACAGCAGCCCCCTGCCTGGTGATTAATACCCAACAGGTTTTCAATTGTCAGTGTGTGTATTGGTCCCATGCTAACAAGCCACACCAAATCCAGTAGATTCTGTGTGACAAGTTCCACAGACTGAGGTGAAAACTTCAAAAGAAGGAGTTCTCCTTGAAATGGTTGTGAAACTCTTGGCCTAGAAAAAACATTGACTGTAGTTTTCATGGCAATTTCTATTCTTCTATTCTTTTCTCGTATTAATGAAATGTTCCTGAAAGCCTTTGATGACTTTTCAAACAAAAGAAATAAATGAGAAATCATTTCCTGAGATATGGTCACTGACCATGACTGCATTCATCTCCAGGAAAATCAGTGCTTTTGGAATCACTCACATCATTCATACATGTAAATAGTAATAAAATTGATTAAAAAAAACTTTCCCAACAACTTCTTCCCCCCACCATTGGTCCTGCTAGACACAGTGCTCGGGGTGAGTGTTGGGACAGAGTGCAGGTCCAATTGGAACTTCCTGGGTTGGCTCTGAACACAGTGGACCTGCCTATCAATGCAGAACCACCTTGAGCCCACACTCATCTGATCTTTAGGCCCCATAACGGCTCCCTCTGCTTTAGTGCTTGAGACCATCCTGAGCCTGCCTTCCCCACATCATTGACCTTTGTGTGGCTGCTGCTTGAGACCTCCAAGGGAGTTTGGATCATCCAGAGTTATAGATATCCAACTCCTGACCCACCTACACCAACCAGGAGAGCAAGAGAGAGAGAGAGAGAGAGAGAGAGAGAGAGAGAGAGAGAGAGAGAGAGAGAGAGAGAGACTCCATCTGCACACACTGGAAAAGTGATGGGAAGACAGCAATACAAAAAATACCCAATAATAGAAAGACCGGTATGACACCACCATAATCTAAGAACTCTACACAAACAAGAACGGAATATAACACAGCAGATGAAGCAGAAGAGAATGACTAAAAAAATAACTTCATGAAAATGATAGAGGCCCTCAAATATGATATGAGAAAATCCTAAAAAGAAATGGAAGAAAGAACAAACAAAAAATTGAAAGAAATAGAGGAAAAGACCAAACAAAAAATGCAAGAAATGAACAAATATCTTAAGGAAAGCTAGAAGCTTCTGTAAAGCAAAGCACACAGTCGACAAGACCAAATGGAAGCCCACAGACTGGGAAAAGATTTTCACCAATCCTATATCCGACAAAGGGCTGATCTCCAAAATATACAAAGAACTCAATAAACTAGTCAACAAAATACCAAATAACCCTATTAAAAATGGGGTACATAACTGAAGAAAGAATTCTCAATAGAAGAAATCAAAAAGTCTGAAAGACACTTAAGAAAGTGCTCCACATTCTTAGCTATCAGGGAAATGCAAATCAAAACAACTTTGAGATACCATCTTACCCCTGCTAGAATGGCTAAAATTAGAAACACCAATGATGACTTATGTTGGAGAGGATGTGGAGAAATGGGAACACTCCTCCACTGCTCATGGGAGTGCAAACTCATACAGCCATTTTGGAGATCAGTATGTCGGTTCCTCAGGAAAATGGGAATTAGTTTACCACAGGACCCAGAAATCCCCCTCTTAGGCATATACCCAAAGGATCCACATCCATGCAACAAAGACATCTGTTCAACTATGTTCATAGCAGTACTATTTGTAATAGCAAGAACCTGGAAGCAACCTAGATGCCCCTCAATTGAAGAATGGTTAATGAAGATGTGGCACATCTACACAAAAGAATATGACTCTGCAGAAAAAAATAATGGTATCTTGAAATTCGCAGGTAAGTGGATGGCACTTGAAGAAACCATCCTGAATGAGGTAACCCAGTCACAAAAAGAGGAACACAGTATGTACTCACTCATATATGGATTTTAGACCTAGATCAAAGGATCACCAGCCTATAATTCACACCACCAGAGGAACTAGGATATAAGGTGTATTCTAAGAGATTCATATAAAGTCCCTCACAGAACGGGAAGGGACAAGTCCCCCAGAGCTCAGAGGAAGTGGGGGGGCAGAAAATGGAGAGAGAAGTAGGAGAAAAAGAGGAGGAGGAAAACACGTGAGACCAGGAAGATTGAGTCTGGTTAGGAATAGAAGACAGGAAAGAGAGAGAGAGAGAGAGAGAGAGAGAGAGAGAGAGAGAGAGAGATCATAAAAGAGGGAGCCAATATTGGTTTGAAGATAAAATTGAACACAGAGAAAGGTCTAGAGAACTACAAGACTACTGCCAATTAACAATTTGAGCTTCTGTGGAAAGCCTACCATAAATGCCCTTCCCGGAGAGTGAGATCAACAACTAACTTATCCATGGAGCCCTCAATTAATGTCTGTTGGAAACAGGAGCAAACACCCATACATAAACACTGAATTGAACTAGAACCCAGATGCAGATGGAGAGGACAAGACCAGGCGGCAGAAACACATACAGACAGCTTACCTGAACAAGGAGGAGCTATTGGGCCACCAGACTGATAGCTGGGAAGCCAGCATGGGACTGACTCAGGCCCCCTGAATATGGGTCTCAGCCAGAAAGACTGAGCAGTCTAAGGAGCCTCAGACAATGGAGCCAGGATGTATCCCTGGTTCACAAAAAGACCTTGGAGGGATAACTTCCTTAATCTAGAGACAGGAGAGAAGCCCTAGTCCCTACTTCACATGACCTGTCAAATCTACATGACCCCAACTGGATGGCATTCCCCTACATATGGAATTGAGGTGGAGGGATGGGAGGGGAGGGTGGTTAGAGTGCATGTGAGAGGGCAGAGAAAATAAAAAGGAGTGAAGGAGGAAAGTAGGGAGGGAGGGAGGGAGGAAGGAAGGGAGGGAGGGAGGGAGAGGGAATTGGGATCGACATGGAAAATAATAAATTAAATTAAAAAAAAATGCTTTGACTCCAAAATTTAAGTTCAAGGACAAGTTACTGCGGAAAAGGATTTCTATTTTTGTTTCCACAGAAAATGAAAAGATGTGGATTCCTTCCAGACTAATGTGGTTTGATCAAGCCAGACCTCCTGAAACAGAGTACCAGGTGATCCTACATTCAAAACAGCTGGACAAAGCAGCCTTACAGACTACAGCCAGGATTTCTGCATCTTCTTAGAATCCCCCATGACAGCGCCCCTTAGCAGCAGGAAGTAGTTTGGAAAGAACGACGCCCAAATTCCCAAATATTGTCTATAAATGTTTGTTTTCATTTAAATGGACTTGGTTGTATAAAATAAATATATGTAAAAATTAAAAAATCAAATATCTTACCATTTCTAACCTCCAAAAAAAAGAAAGTAAGGAAAGCCACACCCAAAAAAAAAATATATCAAAGAACTGAAAGAAACAATTCGAACAGTTCAAAACCTGAAATAGAGACAATAAAGAAAACAGAAATTGAGGGAATGTGGGAAATAGAAAACCTGGGTAAACAATCAGGAACTACAGATGCAAGCATAAACAACAGAATACAAGAGACCAAAGAGAGAATCTCGGGCACTGAAGATAAATAGAGTAAATAGATTCATGGACCATAGAAAATCTTAAATCCAACTAATCCTTAAAACAAAACATTCAGAAAATGTGGGACACCGTGAAAAGGCCAAACCTAAGCATAAGAGGCATAAAAGAAGGCGAAGAAGCCCAACTCAAATGTGCAGAAAGCATATTCAACAAAATCATTGAAGAAAACTTTCCCAATCTGAAGAAGGACAAGCCTATGAAAGTACAAGAAGCATTCCTAACACCAAATAGATTAGACAAAAAAAAAAAGTCCCCTCACCACATAATAATCAAAACACCTAACATACAGAATAAAGAAAGAATATTAAGAGCAGTGAAGGGAAAAGGCCAGGTAACATAAAGGCAGACCTATCAAAATTACACCTGACTTCTGCATGGAAACTCTCAAGGCCAGAAGGTCCTCCATAGATGTTTTAAGATACTAAGAGAACATGGATGCCAGCCCAGGCTACTATACACAGCAAAACTCTCAATCACTATAGATGGAGAAAACAAGATATTCAATGACAAAGCCAGATTTTCACAATACATGTCCACAAATCCACCACTACAGAAAGTTCTGGAAGGAAACTCTAAACCAATAAAGTTAACTACACTCACAAAGAAATACACAATAGATAATCCCACTTTACCAGGACCGAAAAGAAAAAGTGGGGCAAATATACTCACAAAACCACTGCCATCAACAAATCTAAAACAAACAAGAATTAACAATCAATGGGCCTTACTTTCCCTCAATATTAATGGTTTTAACTCACATATAAAAGACACAGGCTACTTTTCGCCAAGATGGCGCCGAAAGCGAAGAAGGAAGCTCCTGCCCCTCCCAAAGCCGAAGCTAAAGCTAAGGCCTTGAAAGCCAAGAAGGCAGTGCTGAAAGGCGTCCACAGCCACAAAAAGAAGATCTGCACGTCACCCACCTTCCGGCGGCCCAAGACCCTGCGGCTGCGGCTCTGGAGGCAGCCCAAATACCCTCGAAGAGCGCTCCCCCGAGAAACAAGCTTGACCACTATGCCATCATCAAATTCCCTCTGACCACTGAGTCAGCCATGAAGAAGATAGAAGACAACAACACACTTGTGTTCATTGTGGACATCAAGGCCAACAAGCACCAGATCAAACAGACTGTGAAGAAACTCTATGACATTGATGTGGCCAAGGTCAACACCCTCATAAGGCCTGACAAAGAGAAGAAGGTGTATGTTCGGTTGACTCCTGATTATGATGCTCTGGATGTTGCCAACAAAATTGGGATCATTTAAACTGAGTCCAGCTGGCTAATTCCAAATACACACTTTTTCACCATAAAAAAAAAAAAGACACAGGCTAACAGAATGGATACAAAGACAGAATCCATCCTTCTACTGCATACAAGAAACAAATCTATGCTTAAAAGACAGACACCGCCTCAGGGTAAAGGGTTGGGAAATGATCATCCAATTTAATGAACCCAAGAAGCACGCAGGTGTAGCTATCCTAATATCTAACAAGTTAAATTTCAAACCAAAATCAATCAAAAGAGATGAAGAAGGTCATTTCATATTCATCACAGGGGAAGTTCATCAGTACAAAGTCTCAATTCTGAAAATCTATGCCCCAAAAACAAAGCACCCACATTCGTAAAAGAAACATTACTAAATCACAAAGCTCACATAAAACCTCACACACACATAGCGGGAGACTTCAACACACCACTCTCACCAATAGATAGCTTCTGTGAGGCAAAAGAAACATGACCAAACTGCAGCCAAAAGACTGAGAAAGATCTTCACCAACACCATATCTGACAGAGGGCTAATCTCCAAAATATACAAATAACTGAAGAAACTAGTCACCAAAACACCAAAAAAAAAAAAACTATTAAAAAGTGGGTACAGAACTGAAGATAGAAGATAGAGTTCTCAATAGAAGAATCTAAAATAGCAGAAAGACACTCAAGAAATTGCTCAACATCCTTGGTCATCAGGAAAATGCAAATCAAAGCAACTCTGACATGCCATTTTACTCCTGTCAGAGTGGTTAATACAAAAAAAACACCACCAATGACAGCTTATGCTAGAGAGGATGTGGAGAAAGGGGAACACTCCTCCACGACTGTTGGAAGCGCAAACTTGTACAGCCATTATGAAGATTATTCTGGCAGTTCCTCAGGAAATTGAGAATCAGTCTGCCACAGGACTAGACAATTCCACTCTTAGGCATATACCCAAATGATCCATATCCATGCAACAAACACATCTGTTCAACTAAGTTCATAGCAGCATTGCTTGTAATATTAAGAACCTGAAAGCAATCTAGATGTCCCTCAAGTGAAGAATGGATAAAGAAGGTGTGGTACATTTACACAATGGACTACTACTCAGCAGAAAAAAACAATGGAATCTTGAAATTTGCAGGCAAATGAATGGAACTAGAAGAAAGCATTCTAAAAGAGGTAACCCAGTCACAAAAAAAGGAACATGGTATGTACTCACTCATGTATGGATTTTAGACATAGAGCAAAGGATTACCAGCCTATAATTCACACCACCAGAGAAACTAGTATACAAGGAGGGACCTAAGAGATTCATACCAGGTCCATCACAAAAGGGGAAATTAATAAGATCTTCTGGGCATATTGGGAGTGGGGGGAGCAGTGAGTAGAGAGGTAGTTAGGAGAAAGAGAAGAGGAGGAAAAGAGAATATGTAGGACCAGAAAGTTTGAGTCTGTGGACAAATAGACAAGAACAAAAAAAGAGATACCATAATAGAGGGAGCCATTGTAGGTCTGAAGGGAAAACTGGCCCTAGAGAGATTTCCAGAGAACTACAAGGATGACCACAACTAACAATCTTAGCAACAGTGGAGAGGATACCTTAGATACCCTTTCTTGATATTGAAATTGAAAGCTAACTTATATGCCATCATAGAGCCCTCATCTAGTAGTTGATGGAAACAAAAGCAGACACCCACAGGTAAATACTGATCCAAATTCCAAGAATCCAGTTGTAGAGAGGGAGTAGTCATGAGAAAAGGGTTCAAGACCAGGCTACAGAAACCCACAGAGACAGCTGACCTAAACAAAGGGGAGCTCATGGACCCATAGACTGATAGCTGGGAAACCAGCATTGGACCAACTCAGACCCCCTGAACATGGGTCTCAGTTAGAAAGCCTGGGCAGTCTAAGGGACCTCTGACAGTAGAACCAGGATGTATCTCTGGTGCATGAAAGGACTTTGGGACCACATTACCCATGGAGGGTTACTACCTTAGTCTGGAGACAAGAGGGAGGGCCTAGACCCATTCCAAATGATTTGACAGATTTTGATGATCCCTCCTGGAAGGTATCACCCTCTCTGTGGAATGGGATGTGAGGGGGATTCTAGAGGGTGGCATGAGAGGGAGGGAGGTAAGGAGAAGGAACTGGGATCGATATGTAAAATAAGAAAAAATAATAAATTAAAGAAGACTTTCCAACAATAAAATTTCATATGACTGTACATATGTGTATGTATGAGTAATTGAGGGTGAGCTTAAATGTTTGGTAAAGAAAGTTTTTTAATAAGAGTCAAAATAGCTGTTTCAAAATACTAACAGGAGCTAGGCAACAAATGTTAAACAAAAACTGACCATAAACATTTATTAATCTGATCTTACTATAGGCAGTTAGCTGTGATTGGCATTAAATGATTTTCTGATTTATTGTTGGATAAGTTGTGTTTTATTGTGCCTAATAATGATGACGTCATCTGGGTAGTGCTTCACTGAACAAAAACTGAGAAGATATTAGTTTTATTATAAAAGGCTTTGCTTAAAAGCTGCAAAATTCACTCAAATCCAACTTCCTCTGTATTTGTCTCAATTTGTTACTGGCAAATCCTTATCCACCTGATCATCAAGTACCCTAATCCCAGAGATTCCCACACCTGGCTGAGGTAGTCTGTGGCACTAACATGGTTTTCCAATCTCAAGACACAAAGGAGACAACCTCCAGCTAAAGAGCAATCACAGCAGATGTCCTAGGGTGTTCTGGGACAGTGACTATATCTAGCCAGCCCCCAGAATTCATGACTCAGTGTGCCTACAGAGCTCTGATGTTCAAAGGAGCTTGTTGAACACAAGCTAGTCAACATCAGACACTCACCCAATAAAGACTCAGGAGCTATATAAGCCAAAGAAAGGACACAGTTCACACTGTCAGCTGACCTCCCTCCATATGTACAGCTGGAAATCTGAAATTACTCAGTACACGGATATTCCTTTCTGCTATACATCATCTTCATGTCTCTATTTTAAAATTGATTAAAGGTTTTTTCCATTAAATCTAGCAGAGCATGTATATTTTCATTATTTGCTAGTGTCATATATGCATGTAATATGGTTTCATCAAATCAGCACCTGCTCCCACCATCCACTTTGGTTGCTAACAGGTAAGAATACAGTTTCCATGTCAGGCCCACATTGATTCTGCATGTCCTATGGCTCAACTCTGTGATTCTCTTATCAAACAGGTTCTACCATTGAATTTTGGGGGATAGCCAAGCTAATGGAAATAGCTTGTGATGTTTTAATATATATGAACAATATTAACAAACAATTTAAAACAAGCAACTTGTATCTACCACTGAGTTTTTTGCATTTGAGAAAGAATTGGCTTTTTCTTACTGTGTCTGGGTTACTTAATTCAGAACAGAAATTTTAGCTCCATCCATTAAATGCAAATTTCATAATTTTCTTTGAGTTTTCAGCTGAATTAAATTCAATTGTGTACATGTATCACAGGTTCAATATAGACATCAATGATAGACATCTAGGCTGTTTCCATGTCTGTTCTGTGTCTGATTGGCCACCAGGATCAAAGACAGAAGGAGAGCAAAACACAATAGCACAGGAAGAGACACTGTGTGGTTTAAGTATATGAAAAGCAGTATTTCCCATGTAGGGATTTTGCCTACTATTCTACTCCTTATATTCCTAAAACTTTAGTAAATTATAAAATTAATGTTAGATTTGTAAGACTACTTCCTAAAGTTTCTGTAGCTGTGGATTTATAAATTCATTGGATATGGTTTAAAAAACAGGAAAATCTTTTACAGTCAGGTTGAAATTTTTAACAAAAATACTTGACAAGCTAAAAAAATAACTAGAACATGCTTATGTGTAACTTGGAGTCAACTCTTATTGAGGAAAAAAAGATATGTCCCAGCATACTGTACATGTTATTTGGATTTGATTCTTGTTTCTGGAAGATAAAACTTAGATGAAGGTTTATAATTCCTAAGGGTCTAAGAGTCTATTTGGTATAGCAGAAACTGATTTAGAAACCCATGTCTGATCAGTTATGTCATTGCTAACTTGATCAACACTAGGCATGTAGAAAATGTAGATAAAGAACAAAATGTGTTTAATAATTAAGATATGTTTGTTAAATAAAGCGTATAAATTTCTAAAGTCTATCCAGGCCACCACAAACTGACATGAAGATAGACTTACACACTTTCTGTCTTTGCTAACTATGTTAATCATGAGGTATTTTAATAAAATAAGTAATATAAGAAACATATTCTGTAAAATATACTATTATTGACCACAAAATTAATGTTCCCAGAGTTTATCTGAACTGTATTTTTATTTTATGGTTTTATTTTGATGTTAAAATATTTACAATCAACCTTTAATCAAAATTGTAAAGGTCAAAGTTAACATGGATACCTTTGTAAAATTCTAATCTTATAAAAACTACTAACTTGTAAACAGTAGAAAATAATTAAGACATGCAAGTTAATGGTCAGTCACTTTATCAATGATCAGATTCTGTCATGTGTTCAGATGTATATTGTTTACTATGGTGAATACAAATGCAATTCATTTACAGCGAGACAAGATTTAGCCTTTTATATATGTCATCAAGGACAAGTCTGAAGCAAGTCACCAAAAATAAGAAAAAAATTTTCCAAATAAGGTATAGTTAATAAATTATGCCATATCCCTCAAAAACCTCAGAGAGATCAGCTCAATATGGGACTTAAGGAATTTAATATAAAGGCTTCCCCTGGTAGACAAAAATACAAGCTACTGGAATTAGCAGCTGAGGCTATACATAAATGAGATGGGAGAAACAGATTACATCTGGATCTTACATAAACTGTGGTCTTGCTGATCACTGGACCACAAACTGGCATAAGCTTCACCCAACATTAGGTCCTTGCCCAAACTTTGGACACTGTTGTGTTGAATGTCCTACTCTGCCTGGACAAGATAGGTCATTTTCCCAAGTTCCTCTTCCACAGAGACATGGCTCAGGTCTCATGAGTGCCATGGTTGATGGCTGATGCTGCCCTGATGGCAGCCAAAGTCTAATGGTGTCTTATGTATCATCCAAAGACAGACAACCTGTACTCCGAACAGACATACAGGTCACCACAGAGGATCCCAGACTGGCTTCCCTGGTTTCAGGTAGGTCTTGTCAATACAGAGGCAATTTGGATTATGTTTCCTAGTGAGATTTGTCCTCCTTGGGTCTCTGTAGTGTTGATAGCAAGTTGTAGCAGGAGCAAGGATACTTACTCAGCTCCTACCAACAAGGCTGCAACTGCATCATCTGTCCCTATCATATGTGAAAATTATTTTTTCTAAGCTAATAGGCTATGTGTTGAGGAAAGCAGACTCACAGACAGGGTTAATCACTGACAAGATTCACACTGAAAAAGATAATCTCACAAAATTGACTTAAATGAAAATCAAACTGAAGCAATCATTGATCCCATCAAGCAACCATATATGTCTCCTGGTTAAAAATTGAATGGAAAAATGATTTAAAATTGACATGACTTCTGAGGGTCTAGGGGAGTAATTTAAGGTTGGTAAATGCAAGCTGCAAAGGTCTGTTTAAGCTATTTAAGTTATGTGAAATGAGAGTTAATATTTCAAAGGTACAGATTTTTATCTTATTAAGCAGTTGCATTTTGATAGCTATTGATCTAGCTTTGGTAAAACACTGCCTGCTATTTCCATAGCCAAAGAACAAATTTTAAATTTCCTTTCATTATTTTCTAAGTATAGATTTAAAATTGGTACTTATTGTTCTGAATACAATATGATATACATATACAATATCTGGACAGAGGTACAAGGGAAAAATTGTTCATGTGTGTATCCTCCTTTGGGTCCCCAAGGTTTTACAATAGCTCTAAAGGATGAGTTTACCACTATAGATACTGATTAAATGCTTCTTCTACAATGAGGAATTAAGTGTAGATTAAGAGAGAGTGGTCATGATAATATATCTAGAATTTTTATCTCTATCTGTAACTTAAAAACCCTAATTTAAATTCAGGGAGTTAAGACTTGGATCCACCTATGGAAGATCAGACAGATTCCAGACAAGTGCTCTTGTTAGTTAACAGGTCAAGTTTTCCTCCCTACTGCCTATCCTTGAGGATAGGTTTTCTCCTTTTCCTGGTTTTGGGATTTCTTCCACCTCCTGCTGTAGTGGACTACTGGACTACAATCTTTTATCCCATGAAAGCATTCCTAAGAAAATTTTAAGTGCTAAAGAAATCAGGCATCTCGAGACTTATTCTTCACATACTCAGTGACACATCTACCAGGATACAGACCTGGAAGTCTGTTTTGTGATCACACAGCAGGGAATGTGTTGAACTTTCAAGGAGATTTTTCTCAGTAGAAGATCATCCCAATCTAGAGTTGATTTTAAAATGAACAGTGGCACAAAAGATAGCAACGGAAACAAGCAACAGAAAATATAAAAAGCAATGCCAAAATAACTCATTCATATTATCATAACTAAACAAAAAAAAATGAACTCTAGTGTTCTCACAGAGATACAGTGCCAGATGAGTAATCAAAAAGTAAAGACGAATGACCTAAAAGCAGATAGAAACAAACAAGTGAATTCAACTAGGCATTGAGACAAGGTGCAATGCTGTACATGCAAACAAAGGCTGAGGGACAAGTAAGGAGCAATAAAAGTCAAAGACTCAATACCAAGAAAGACAAGTCCTAAAGATAAATTGAAATTCTTGGTGAGGGGATGAACAGGTAAAATTGTTGTAAATGGAAAACACAAAACCGCCAATAAAAATACAGTGGAAAGTGATCCAAGCACCACTGATTAAATAGAAGACAGAATATCGAGCACGATGGATGTGATTTTCAGAACAATGCAGTAAAATATCAATAAAAACTAAATAAGTAATAAACATGTCCACATTGTCCAAACTCTGAGATCCTTTAAAAAGATCAATGCCGAACACATGGGGTAGGAGATGCTGAAATACATTCTAAAGGCATGGGGATTTATCAGAAACCCCGCATCTGTGGAAAGAAACAGACATTCAAACAGAAGACATTTACATTCCCTAGTGAAAAGGGTGGGACCTTTCTTTCCCATATTAGAATCAATAGGTGCCTCATAGAATGGTCAGACACAACAGCTGGTATTTTCCCTTTTGATCTCTACTTGACTAGAAAAAATAAAGAAGAAGAAAACAAATGTCTGTAGATGCATGAGGAAGGAAAGTTTGCAATAATTTTCACACTTCTGTACATACAGTTCATTATTCTCAAAGGAATTACATGCACACACATGAACATGCACTGTCATGTAGCCAGAACAACTTCATCACAGTCACACAAGTACTTACTGAATAAGATCGAAACTTAGATTCAGTTTTGTCTCAAATGGCATCTGGAATTTCTGTTGTACTTCTAGTTTAAAGTAAATGGGGATAAATGCACCTAGGATTATGTCAGCTTTCATGTAGGTGATGGGCTTCCAGTTCTCAAAACAATTATAATGGGTTGTTTTTCCTAATGTAAAAAAATATTGCAGGAGTAGGAAGAGGCAAATCAAAAGGAGGAACATGACAGAATCTGAACTACACAGAGGCAATGCCCTGCAACTATGCTGACCCAAGGAGATTATTGGCTTAGGTCATGCAACAGGCTCAAACCTTAACACGGTCAGAGAAGACAGTAGCTACAGCTGGTTCCTGATGTTGCATCAGGCTTTCAGGCGCATGTAGGCTATGGTTCTCATGCCAGACAAGGTAACAGACAAAAGCACAGACCAGACAAGTGAGGGTAAGACAGGTGCTTAGATTCTCATCTAACTGTAACCTGAGTGACCCTGAATGTGCTGACTTTTCTTGCTTCTGTTTCCATCTCATACATGTATGTGCTCTGGGGATCCCACAGTCCTGGGACTCTGCACCTGCATCCTCTATGCTGGTGAAAACATGTTTGTGTCTTTCCTTCTTCCCCACCTCTATGATTTCATCCTGGTCCACAGTGACTTTGGAGAGCATGATAGCCTGAGACAGAGTTGTAGGTCAGCAACCCAGCTGGTTTGTTTTGGATTGCTGTTTGGGGAGACACATAGGGGAAGTGTGAACAAGTGAGAAAAAGCCATAGTTGACCCCACAAAGCACACACTTCCAATATTTCATACAATTCTTTCACACAAGGATGAAGTGTTGATGTCAGTTTCTAGTGTCTGCCATTTAGAAGCACACTAATCTTGTATCTATTCTGACTCCTTGTCTGTTCTCTCCTTAGAGCTATAATTATGAAGATGTAGAGAGGAGTAAGGACATTTCAGAGAAATATAGACCATCATTTCCCTCCTTACCCATTCACAGTACTGAGGTTCCCAAGCAGTGAACTATGTTCTGCTATTTGTACACTTTGCTACAGCCTCTCCCCAACTACATTTTGTAACAAATCACTACTAAATAGAATAACACTTCATCTCTACACTTCTTCCTCTTTCCTCTAATACTAGTTATCAGAAATACTCTTGATGTCATTTCATCCTTCCATTTTATATTTTTGATAATTAGAGTATAAGACAAATCAAATGTTATTATATGTATGTTACATAAGGAACAAGAATTTATGGATTTTCAAAAGAACAGGTTATGTATACTCAGTCTTTGAGGGAGGAGGGGAAAGGAGAAGTCATATAATTATTCTCAACAGATAAATAAATAAATATATGTTCTTTATATATACTCTTCCAAAATTTTGGTTATTGGAATCCTTAAAATATATAAAAAGCCCTTTTCAATTGATCAATGTGTGTTACTATTAGCTGCTCTGCATATATATGTATATATATGTATATATGTGTATATAACATAAATACATACATACATACATACATACATCCCTCTTTTGTCATTGAAATGTGTTCTTTGACAGGCCATTTCACAACACCGTGATGTGCAGCCTCACACAGTCATCACTGTTAGCTATGAAGGCAAGTGTCCACTTCTCATTTCAGCTCTACAACACCATATGATACAGAACCTTGCGAGCCTTGTGCATGCTGCCTCAGTCTCTGTAGATTCATATATGTGTAAGTCTATGAATTTAGAGGGCTTTGATCTTTGTTGTCCTTCATTCTCTCTGACTCTGAAGTGGTTCTGATTCAACTAACCTGAGCATCGAGAGGTAATTTGATGGAGATATCATATTCAAGGCTGACAATTCTGAGGTCTCTCACTGTCTGCATGCTGCATCTGCTGATCTCTGTATTTGTTCCCATCTCTTGCAGGAAGAAGCACCATTGATGATATCTGACCAAGGCAGTGGTCTATAAATATAGCAGAATGTCATTAGGGGTCCTTTCCTTGCTGCACTCATTTGGTAGAATAGTAGTATTTGCTTTTGTCATGGATACCTAGGCTATCCAGTTTCATATTCTTGGTTACAAAGGCAGTGTCAGATAAGGGTTCCATCTTGTATAGTAGGCCTTAAGTAGACCTTATTGCTTGGTTACACCCACAGCCATTTCACCAGTGTATCTTGCAAGTAGGGCATTAGTAATATTTGAAAGTGTTGTAGCTGGATTGGTGTTTACATTTATCCTTTGGTAGCATGCAGACTACCTTCCTGTATCAAAGTTGTTAGCATGTATGGGTGAAGGTTGTATGTACTCACCAGCTAGCTTTCTCTTGTAGTGAGATCTTTACTTTGTCCACATCTGTGGCACTGACCACGCCCATTTAGGGTGAAGACAGGGGCAGAAGTGACCTGGGGGAACTAGGTCTGAGGAGGAGCCCGGGAGCCCTCTCATGCTTGCAGCATGCAGACAGGAGAGCTTTCCAAGGAACCTGCTGGTGTTCATCTGTCTATGTCGTAAGTTATTCCTCCCTGAATAAACATCTATTTGGCCCATTTGTTTTTCCCGATCCTTATTAAACCAACCATGATATTCTCTATATTCAATGAGGTGTGTGTGTGTGTGTGTGTGTGTGTGTGTGTGTGTGTGTGTGTGTGTGTTTCTTCAGCAATAGGGCCTTGCATTCAATTTGTGAAGAATAACCTACAGTCGTGACAAAAGGCTATGTTGTTTGATATTTGGCCAATATCTCAATTACACATAACCAATTCCCAGTATTGGAAACTTCATTTGGTGACAAGAGATGTCCAATTGGAACTGTATCACTATGTAGTGATTTCATTTAGTTTGATATCATATATGTATAAATTAGGAAGTTTCTACTGTATTAAGTTTCCATAGTAGCACTTAAATAACCCTTAAGTTTAGCTATATCTACTTATATTACCTTCTTCAGTGTACTCTTCTCTCCACACCTGCACTTGACTCTCACTTTCTAGCATATCATCCATCCAAAACTCCCTACTTTCTTTCTCTTTCTTAGGAGATCTATCTGCCCCATTCCTAGGCCCCAGGCCCTCACTATATATGTATCCTTGGCTGTTTAATGTATTGTAACTTGCTCATCATTCACTTCACAACTAATATTCACACATATGCAAATACATGTTTCCTTTTGGGTCTCGGTTACTTCACTCAGAATGAGTTGTCCTTAGTTTGCCTGTGAATATCAATTTACCTGAAATTTTCATGGTTTCATTTTTTAAAATGGCTAACATTACATTGTGTAAGTGTATCATATTTTCTTTATCCATTATTTTGTTGATGGGCATCTAGGTTGTATTCAATTTCCAGTTATGCTGCAATTAATGTTTGAACAAATGTCTCTGTGATTAGTGAAGTATCCCACCACACTTTTGGGTGTATGCCCAAAAGTAATACAGCTGGTTCTTGAGGTATATCAATTTCCACTAGCTGAAGAACAGTCACAATGATTTTCATTGTAGCTATACAGGGTTATACTCCTACCAGCATTAATGAATGTTCATGTTATTACATATTCTTGATAGCATTAACTGTACTTTGTTTTATTGATTGTGACTACTTGGACTTTTGTTGGAGGAAATATCAAAGTTGTTTTGATTTGCATTTCTGTGCTGGCTAAGGATTGTGATATTTTTTAATGTTTCTCAGCCATTTGAATTTCTCCTTGTGAGAATTCTCTGTTTAGAGCTGTACCTGAGTTTCATTTGGGTATATATTTTCTTGATATATAGATGTTTAGTTTTTAGTTTTGTTTTTAACCTCTTTATACATTTGCATTATTAGCCCTTTATTGGAAGTGTAAGTAGTAAAAATCTTTTCCTAGTTTGAAGGTTACCACTTTGTCTGAATAATGGTGTTCTCTTCAGGCTTATAATGCTAGAAAAATCTTCCATGCTCATGTATCAGTAGGTTTAATAAAGTATAATTCACCACTATAACAAAAGCAATCTACAGATTTAATGCAATCCCCATCAAAATTCCAGCACAATTCTTCATGATCCTGAAAAGACAATTTTCAATTACATATGGAAACATAATAACACCATGATAGCTAAATAATAACTTCTTAAGGTATCACTTTCCCAGGGCTTAAAGTAAGCTAAAGAACTAGAGTAATAAAAACAGCATGGTGTTGGCAAGGAAACAGATACTTTGATCAATGATTGAATTGAAGACCAGGATGTAAATCTGCAGACCTATGGATTCCTCATATTTTTTTAAAAATAAGTATACTAGAAATACACACTGGAAAAAAGGACAGCATCTTTAACAAATGGTGATGGTTAAGTTGGATATTAAATGGAGATTAATGCAGTTAGAGCCATAGGTATCATTCTGCACAACACTTCAATGGATTGAAGACTTCAGCAAAATCCAGACAGCAGCAAACATGATAGAAGAGATAGCAAGGAAGAGCATTGAACTCACTCACTCAGAAAAGACTTCAACACTTGAAATTGTCTCTTCAATTTCTTGGACTGTGTTGGGGAGGCTTCCACGTAAGGTTTTTGTCTGACTTCTTACAATTTCTGTTTAATTTTATCTCAGTCTGGATTTTTAGTGACTCTTTTTGTACTACGGGTGTTTTGAACTGTTTTAATCATTGTATTCCCATTTGTTTATGTTTTCTTAGGCTTCATTGATGTTGTCATTCACATCTTCTTCTTGAACATATTTATAGCATCAGCTTTGAAGTCCTTGTCTTTTTCTGTGATTATACTGTATTTCTCAGGGTCTAATCCAGTAGGGTTGCTGAGTTTTGGTGGAGATACATTATGTTGGGTGCTAATGATTTGTGTTTGACACTGGCATCTAGGTATCTGGATTTGGGATGATTGGGATTCTAGCTGTTGATTTCTGTGCTTGTCTTTGTTAGGTTTTTGGTGTTTTATGTCTTGGCTTCTACTTCACTCTCCTGAACTTAAGAAAATGTGTTGCTGTAGGTTGCCTTGTAGGGAGTGTTTCTGAGTCCACATGAGGCAATTGTGGATCCTGGAAAGAAAGTGGTTCTAAGTACCAGTGCTGACACTAAGTAATGGGGATCTTTGAGAAGGGGGGGTTGAGAAGGGTACTCAGGAAGGAGAAATCTGGATCTACCACAAGGTCTGGCAGAGATCCCATTATGTGAAGGTAGTGTGGAAGAACAGACCCTGAAAGAGGTGAGCTGCAAGGTTGTGTACGAAACTGAAGAGATT